CATTTACTAATTTGTTATTGATCTTACTTTCTTAGCTTTATATAATGGTTGGGAATAAGATAATAGTCTATAAATGTGTATTAATGCTTATTTTATCATTTTACAAAATATCATTGCATATTTCCACATTTCATAATATTTCCACAATGTCTCTAATTTTTACAATATTTCCCCTCAACATTTCCGACATATGTCCTATATTTTGGTAAGAGACATTTCCATCGACATCGACATTTTAAACCTTGGCTGGACCCAGGGACCATTTAGTATAAATGTTAGGCCTACTAAGAGTCCATACTGATGGGCTCAGGGCTTCACTGTCTTCAGCAGTGAATTCGGCCAGGCCTTGTAACAGAGGCTAGGCTGAACCCATATGACTTGTGGAGATCAATACTAGGGTTCCACACCATACAAAGAGAGTTAAACTTGCCAGCATTTAAAAGGGAAAGTGAGCCATATGACTTAATGGGCCTAAAGCCCATTTCAAACTAGGTTTAATTAGATTAATTAAAAAGGGGCGAATCTGGTTTATAATCTGATTAGGATCAGCACTACGATAAAATAAGTCTTATCCACTTGAGAGTCCAGAGTCCAAATACAGATTTGGATTAACAAACTCCTTCCTAATTGGATTAGGAAGCTGATCCTAAAAGGGTTATAACTAAGGGGGCAAATTCCTCAATAGGTAAATTCTTCTTCTGTAGTTTTCTCCCTCAGCTCTTGCCGCCCCTACCCAGTTTAATCTTCATTCTTGGAACTGATCAAAATTAGATCTTGATATTGTTTCTTGCTAGAAGAAGCAATCTGAAGTCGTGCTCACATCCTGTGTGATTCTTGCTAAAGAGTTAGGGTTCTTGTTGAAGAACCTCCTTGCTAATCCTTTCTCACCATAAGATGTGTCATCTTCAGTGGATGTGGGTTTTGGTGACCTCTTTGAGCGTGAATACCTACGTTGGGAGCTACTTGTGTGGATTTCATATCAAGTATATCCCTCTCCCTCTTTTGGTTTCAGATCTGGTCCGTTTTGTTTCAAGAACGAACCTTGAAAATGTAGTTTTTCTAAAAACAAGGAATACGCTTCCTGGATAGGAGAAGGAAATTTTTGAAATTTGGCCCAACCATCCTGCATGGTTCGGCCATCCATATGATGGTTCTCCCATCCCTTCAATAGTATCAGAGCCATGGTTTAAATCTTGAACCAAATCAGACCTAATTTGAACCTGCACAAATGGGCAGAATCGGTTCTACCTGATTTGTGCAGATTAATGCTTTTCTGAGAATTCAGTTCTCAATAATGGGGCGTATAATCTGAAAATTAATTTTTTACTATTCTGATTTAATTAGGGAATGGTTCTGTGATTATTTCGTGGAYGTGTGGGTTGTATGTGTGATGGAGATCGAAATCTTTAATGGCGCCAAGATTTGCGCACCCTGCATTTTCTATTATATTATTTTGGTCTGTAAATAATTTTTCTTTTATTTTCTAGACAAAATGTATAGGATTTGATCTGATGCAATTAATAGAAAATTAAGGTTTTCTATTTTTTTTAAATTGGAAGAAGTGTTGGTTCGCATGGAGGAGAAGACATTTCGCAAATACAAGATCTGCAATCTGCGATTTGAAGATATTGAATGTTAGGTACCTGCCTAACTCAGGGCTCTTCGAGGGGCCAACCTCCTGAATTCTTGGAAGAAGAGAGAGGAAAAGAGAGAGAGAGAGAGAGAGAGTTTAATGCCGAAACAATCAATGTCCTATTCCCTTCCCTGCTCTACTACTTATAGTTTTACAGTCTTGATTATTACAGTTTTTACAAGGAAGTTGTTACAAGTGGATGGTTAGTTGTGCTGACGTGGCCTCCTCTTGTAAAACTGCTTAACTGCCTTCTGTTGGTCTGTTCCAGCAGTCTTGACAATCCCCCCTTCCTTTAGAGCAACCTTGCCCTCAAGGTCTAATGTAGGAAAATTAGATTGCAGATCTAAATAGGAT